TGGTCTGAAACCCCATCTCTACTAAAAATACAAAAATTAGCCAGGTGTGATGGTGCAGGCCTGTAATCCCAGCTACTCAGGAGGCCAAGACAAGAGAATCGCTTGAACCTGGGACGCAGAGGTTGCAATGAGCCAAGATCACACCTCTGCACTCCAGCGTGAGCAACAGAGTGAGACCCTGTCTCAAAAGAAAAAGAAAACTGCCCCACCCATTCATGTATGTACTGCCCATGGCTGCCGCATGCTGCAGCACAGAGTCAAGTAGCTTTGATGAAAATTGCAGGGTTCACAAAGCCTGAACTCTTTACCATCTGTCCCTTTCCAGAAAAAGTTTGCCAGCCCCTGCTGTAGGCTGCCATCCAAGGCAGGTGAATCGCTTGAGCCCAGGAGTTCAAGACCAGCTGGGGCAACGTAGCAAAACCTTGTCTCTATTTTTAAAAATGCAAAAAATTAGCCAAGCATGGTGGTGCATACCTGTAATCCCAGCTACTCAAGTGGCTGAGGCAGGAGGATCACTTGAGCCCTGGAGGTCAAGGCTGCAGTAAGCCATGATTGCGCCACTGCACTCCAGCCTGAGTTACAGAATGAGACCCTGCCTCAGAAAAACAAAACAAAAAAGCTTATACTTTTCTATTATATTCATTCCAAAAGCTTTGAAGACTTCTATCTCCTTCCGCAAAGGGATGAAACTTTGTTGGTCTGACTCTCTAATCTTTAGCTGGATCCCAGAAGTTAGTGGCCTAAATTCATTTCCTATGACAGGCTACCAGGTACCCTCCATTCTGGGCAAAATGGTCTCTAGGCTGCCCCCATGATGGCATTCAAATACCTTCATCTGGTTCGTTGTTCTTGTCCAGCAAGCTCTCCCCTTTTGCTGCAGTCTAAACCCTCCTCATCCTTCACTCCAAATCCCCATCTCCCCAACCAAGAAGGTTTCCCTGCTTTGCCAAATGTTTTCCCAGGTGTATTCTATGGAACAAAAATCCCAAGAGAAATCCTTGGGCTGGGTGTGGTGGCTCACACCTGAACTTTGGGAGGCCTAGGCGGGCAGATCACCTGAGGTCAGGAGTTCAAGACCAAACTGGCCAACAAGACAAAAGCCCGTCTCTACTAAAAATACAAAAATTACCTGGGCGTGGTGGTGGGCATCTGTAATCCCAGCTATTTGGGAGGCTGAGGCAGGAGAATCACTGGAACCCAGGAGGCGGAGGCTGTAGTGAGCCGAGATCGCACCACTGCACTCCAGCCTGGGTAACAGAGCAAGACTCCATTCTATTTTCTCTTGGAGGCCTAATACACATAGGTAGCATATTAAAGGCTCTGAGAAGTCCTGCAGTAAAGATGCCTGTTCCCCTTTGCTTAGCTCAACTCTTCCCAAACTTATTAACCATAGAATTTGTTTTGTCCACAGAACACTTATTAACTACCAGCATTAAGTACAGTGCCTGGATGTCAGCATTTGTTGAAAGAATGAAAAATGCTAACATCCCAGAATTAGGGTTCTACAGAACATACTTTGGAAATGTTATTCAAGCTCCTCCTCCTCTCTCTCTAATCTGAACTGCTCCCTTCCATGCCATCTAGTCAACACCATGTAATGCCAATCGTTATCATCATCACAGCTGTCATTCATTAACACCTGCAGCCACTCTGTTCCAGATAGCGCTAGACCCTTGAAAACATTATCTCTTTCAATCCTTATAACCACCCTCTGAAGCAGGGAAATATTATTTAATTATTGCTGTTTTGCCAAAAACTTAAAACTATAAATCAGAAAACTTAAATCACCAGCCCAAGATAAAGTAAAAAGAAAAGATAGAATTTACAACTATATCAGTCTGACTCAAAGTTCATGAACTTTCTTTTCCACCAAAATATCTTCTGATAATGTGCCATGGCTGCCATCGCTGGCTGTCCACTTACTTAATATCTACCTGTGCCTCCTTCCACACTAGCAGAGCCCTGATTTTGCATGGAGTGGCAACATGTCATTTCAGGCAATGGATCATGATCCATCTAAGCCGATCGTGGTGGTGTTCCCACTTCCCCACCTCCCGGGCTCCCTTGCAGCTAGGACTCAGTTCTGGCCAAGAAGATATAATCAAATCATCTGCAAGGTGAGGAGGAAGAGATGTCCTGGGGCACCCTTTATTCCTTTACACTCACTAGGTCCTGCTCTTTGCTACCTTGAACCCAGATGTAATTGCTGAAGCTGCAGGAACCATCTTGCAACCACAAGAGAAAAGCCATGAGAATTCCCAAAGACATCAGCCCTGGTATTACTGACCTACTGAGCCAACCGAAGCAGCTATATGTCTCCAGAATTCTTGTTACATGAAGAGAAACCATTATTTGCCTTACTGCTGTGATTGGGTTTTCCATTTCATGCAGCTGAACAAAAACAGGCCTAATGGGCCCACACGTTGTCCCCCATATTATTTACCACTTGGTCTTTATCATTATTTCACATACACATTATTCTGTCATGAAGTATGCGTCCTGAAGGCCAAGTCCACCTTGCCTATTTTTGTTGCTACAGAAGTGTATACATGCTATTCAATGCTGTTCATTATCACCCTTTTCAGGGATCATCTATTCAACTTATTACTTGCATTAGTGTCAGCAAGCAGTGAGTTTTCACCATTAAATAGCTGAAATATCACATCTTTCTCCTAATGGATTAGCATCTCAAAGTGTCCATTTGAAAACGTGTCAGAAATACCTGAACTGTTTATTACACGCAGATTTCTTGGCCCTCTCGCTAAACCCAGCTAAATTAGAATCTCTAGGGTTAGAGAAGCTGAGACTCTGCATTTTAACAAGCACCCTCATATGGTTCTGATATCCAAAATTAGAAAATTCCGTGCACCCAAATGTTAGGATTGGCTGGACTCGTCTGGACCCTGAGTTACTAGCCCCTCTGCAGGGGCCCTCCCTAACCCTACAAATCTGGGAAATAGAAATTGGAATCATTGCTCAAGACCATTCCCTGGGCAAGATGGATGAAAGTGGTTGGCATGCTCTGTAGCATACTGGGATGAGGGAACTGAAAACAGATGCATTTCCTACAACTGCAACTCCCCCATAGCCATCCTACCAGTGCCTCCATCCCCCCAGTTTAAAAGGAAAACCACTATGCAGAAAGAAGGCAATGCCCACTGCGGCACATCCCCATCCAGGAAGCTATCAGAGGATGGAGCATGTTTGAAACAGAAAAAAAAAAAAAAAGAAAAAGAAAACTTCGAAGAAATTTACACAGGAATACACAAACTAGCATTTGGGACTCCTGACTCAGAGGAACAGAAGAGAGCTCAGATGGCTTTTTTGGGGTTATGTATTGACCGCATGCAGTTCTGAAGAATCTGCTCTTGGGCAATGTTCAGGCAGAGACAGAAGGCTGGATCAGAACATCCCACACTTTTTCTTCCAACAGCAGAGCTCTGGCCTCACCTGCTCTCCCAAGCTCCAGGAAAGGCAATACCTGTGCCTCCCAACACAATTCCCACTCTCCCGATACACCTTGACATTGATCTTATTTCGTCTCTGAGGATCACATTTCCAGATGACAGGTGCACACAGACATGCATCCTAGGGTAGCAAACAGCATTCTCTCTCATTCTCTCTCTCTCATTCTCTCTCTCTCTCCTTTTGAAGGGATGACCTCCTGCATGTTGACATCCAGCCAAATTTAAAATCACGGAAGAAAAAGAAAGACCCAAAGTGAATCCAAGAAAAGCACCTATCCAGGCTAGAACAGGGGCAGGAGAGCTACAAGATTCACTAGGGACTGACGAGTTCAGGCCTTGGGAACTCATGTGCCAGAAGCAAGATGAACGTCTCAGTACTGCTCATGCCCACTCCACCACAGGGGGAACCCCTTTTCTCCCAGCCCCACTGCCCCCACCCTTGGTGGATGCCAGCTAATGGAAGTTCTGAAATTTAATCAACCCATGTGTATAGCTGGGTTGGTTTGAGAGAAGGAAGTGAGTTGAACCCTTCAAACATTTTGAACAACGCAGATGTCCAATGATCTCATGAACACCAGGCATTTGGCAGTTCCTGTGGCTCTTTAAACCTTCCTCCTTTGACCAAATGGCCTTCAGAAAAAACTAATTTCTGCCATCTTCTTTCTGAGTAACTTTGCATCCATCCCTCATCCCATCCCACTCCCCCAAAAAACTGTTACAAACTCCCCCTCAAGTTCTGCGGGAGAGAATGTTACAAGAAGCCAAAGATAACTCCTCCTCCCCGACCCCTTTCCTCTTTCCTCGCAGCCCCACTGAGATTCAGGAGTATTCTCCTACACCACCTATGTGTGCTGATTGAGGCATATTTTTTTTTCCTTTTATACGTTTTAGGCCTGCAACAGCTCACTGCATCAAAACGATTGGATTGGAAATGGGTAGCTCCATAGGGATTTTTTTTCATGCATCTTGCCTCCTGACATGTGTATCACTGATTTAAAAAAAAAAAAAAAAAATCTAAGGAGCAAAAGGAGGGCGGGGAAGAAGGCCAAGAGAAGAAGAGGTCTACAATGACAGGCGGCCCCATTCTGCGAGCAAAAACCACCTTTTGACCACCTGCAGAATGCGCAAGGTCACGTGGGTTCTCTGCAGCTCCTTAATGTATTACCCGGCACACAAGCCCCCATGGCATATAAACAAATCCACAAGCGGAAAAAAGAGAGAACTCCCTCCTCAGCCGGGAAGCGAATGATAACGGTAACAGCCGCAACAATAATAATAAATAAAGAATAACAATTACTACTACTACTACCACCACCCAGCCAAGCGCAGACGACAGCAGCACAGTAAAAGGATATCCAATGCAGGCTTTGCAAGGAGAGAAATCACAGAAAAGCAAACCGTGCCCACCTTGCTTGCCCGCACCATCACCTCCAGCCCCCAATAAACAGAGTCAGAGGGAAAGGGGACCGTGGGGAGAAAGGAGGGGGAAAGAAGGATTGCTTTTTTTTTTTTTTTTTCGTAGGCAACACCTACCTCCAGGGTCCGGATTTCTTTTTGTGTGAGGTCGTTGGAGGTAGCACATTTGGTCCTAAGACCTTCCAGGTTGGAGATGCTCAAGTCTATCATGTTTTGGACCAGTTCGCACTGCTGTAAGGCTTTTTGCAAACTCAGAGGCTGCTGCTCCTCGCTTTTCGTCATGTTTTCCTCATCCATCGCTTGCTCTGCAACCCCCTTCCCCTCCTCCTCCTCCCAGAGAGAAAAAAGGGGGGGGGAGTAGAGGTAGTCTACCCCTCCGCCTCTCCAACCACTGCGACTTCTCAACAATGTCTCATGAAGAAGAAATCCAACATCTCACACAGGGTTGAGGGGGTGGGAGTGGGAGGAGGGGACAAGAGCCAAAATTTATTATTTTATTTTGGGGATCAAGCGGACTCCATTAGAATGTCTCCTCTCTGAGTCTCTGGTCCCTGAAAAGGAGAGATGCTGTTTCTCAGAAGCAAACCAGGTGATGTGATGCTGTCTGTATACTTAGGGAGGAGGAGGAGGAGGAAAAAGAGGAGGAGAAGGAGGAGAAGGAGGAGAGAGAGGAGGAGGGAGAAGAGGAGGAGGGAGAGGAGGAGGAGAAGGAAAATAGCGCTCACTCTTTACACACCGGCTCCTTGAAGGACAAAATTATATATTTTTGGCTGGCTTGCTTTTATGTCAAAAAAAAATCTGGTTTGCCCCCCTCCCAGTTGCAGGGACACGGCATGGTCCACGGTTTGGAAGTGCTTTAGCGCGTTCTCAAGGTGCTGTCTGCATTGCTCCCGCGGCTGCGGCGGCTACTGCGGCTGGCTGCTGTCTCCTCCCCGCGCTGCTGCTGCTGCTGCTACCGCCGCCAGGCTCCGGGGGTGACGGTTGCTGCAATAGCTCCTGCCTCGCTCCACACCGACATCTTGCCTGTCAATCAAAGGGCGGGGGGGAGCGAGGGAGCGCCGGAGAGGGATGGAGAGCGAGCTAGGGACCTGCAGGGGAGCGGGTTGGTGGAGAGGCGCCGTGCGCGCAGCCGCCCCAGCCGGGCCCCGGCCTCGGCGCGCCAGGGACCCGCCGAAGGAGGCGGAGGAGGAGCGCGCAGGCTCGCGCACCTGGCCGGGGACAGGGCCGGGGGGCGGGATTTCTAGGGGCTGCGGAGCTCGCGTGGCAAAGTGAAATTACTACCGGGAGTGCGTGCGAGCGAGCAAGCGAGCGATGGGCGGGCGGGGGCGCGGAGACAGAGCGCGCATCGGGCCCAGCCTGCTCCTGGGGGCGGCAGAGGAGCAGGGAGTGTGCCCGAGCCTGGAGGCTGGGCGAGGGGGCGGGGAGAGGGAGTCGGTGGCGGGGAGGGGGTGGGGGCCACTACTCCTGCACCGCTCTCGCGAGACCGAGCTGGAGTGCTGCTCAGCAGGTGCGCTCCGGCTGGGAGCAGGTGTGCGCCCAACTTTGAAACCTTCGGTGCGCGCCGGAGAGGCGTCGGCGTGAACCTGGGCACGTCTTCTCTGTCTTTGGCTCGGTGTGTGTGTGCGTGCCTTTTTGTTCGTTTGTCCTTTCTTGTTACTGGGGAAAAAATAAAACGAACCTGATGATCTTCCGTGAATTTCAGGAAGCTGCCTCCTAGACTTGGTACCCTGGCCCGCCCTGATGGCTTTCCATTTGGAGGGGGAAAGGGCCTTTGCCTTATTCTGAGTATTCCCATGTCCTACAAGGGTCTGTGTGACCTGACCCCAGCACACCTAACTGAAGTTATAACAGCAGTTATAACTGAAGTTATAACCATGTTATAACATGGTTTTTACCTTTTGAAATGGTTGGAAGCCTGGCGCGGTGGCTCACGCCTGTAATCCCCGGCACTTTGGGAGGCGGAGTCAGGAGGATCACTTGAGACCAGGAGTTTCGGACCAACCTAGGCAACAACATAGCAAGACCCTGTCGCTACTAAAAATTCAAAAATTAAAAGTGTAAATAAAATGGGTGGAAAAAAATCAAAAGAATATTTTGTGACACGTGAAAATTATGTGAAATTCACATCTCAGTGTTCACAAGTAAAGTTTTGTTGGAATACTACCATCCATCTGTTTATTGTCTGTGGTTACTTTTGCCTTGTAAAGCAGAGTTGAGTAGCTGCAGCTGAGACCGGTGGTGCACAACACCTGAAAGATTTACTGCCTGGCACTTTACAGAAAGGTTTGCTGACTCTTGATTAAATCTTTGCACTCTATGTCCACCGTGCCCAGAACATGCTTCACCCTAATCCTCTCCTGGTGGGTTTCTTCTTGTCACTGCTAACTCAAATGTCATCTCGGAGAGGCCTCATCTCCCTAATCACCTTATCTAATAGTATTCCCAACACACGTTGCCCAACAGATGTATTTAGAATAATTAGCAAAAGGCACCTTTCTCCAGGTGAACAGAGCCCTGTGCTGAGGACTGAGTAAGGAGTGATACTCAGAACACATGGTATAATATATCAACCTTAAATGAAGCCACTTGAAAAGCAGAAAGAACAGGAGCCACTGGTGGCCAAGTTGAATGACAAACTTTATTTTTAAGTTCTGGGGTGAATGTGCAGGATGTGCAGGTTTGTTACGTAGGTAAACGTGTGCCATGGTGGTTTGCTGCACGTATCAACCCATCACCTAGGTATTAAGCCCAGCATGCATTAGCTATTTTTCCTGATGCTCTCCCTCGACACACTTTTTTTTTTTTTTAAGACTGTACGCTGACCCAGCATGGTGGCTCACACCTGTAATCCCAGCACTTTAGGAGACCAAAGCAGGTGAATAGCCTGAGCTCAGGAGTTTGAGACTGCCTGGCCAACATGGTGAAACTCCATGTCTACTAAAAATACAAACAATTAGCCAGGCGTGGTGGCAGGCGCCTATAATCCCAGCTACTCCCAGGCAGGAAAGTTGCTTGAACCCAGGAGGCAGAGGTTGCAGTGAGCTGAGATTGTGCCATTGCACTCCAGCCTGAGCAACAAGAGCAAAACTCTGTCTCAAAAAAAAAAAAAAAAGAAAAAGAAAAAAAATACTGTAAGCCATGGGATTTTATAGCTATACAGAACTGAGTCAGTATTTTCAACATCTGTCAATGAGCAGATGAAGTAAGTTCTCTATGTTCTCCGTCTTTTGGACCATGAAGTTTATGAATTCCAGTTGTCTGGTAAAATTATCTCTTTTCATCTATTTTCTCCATCGTTTAGTTTTTCTTAAACATGTTAATTATGATTATTTTAAAGCATTTGTCTAACTCCAAAAACTTGATGACCTGTGGGTGTCTTTCTATTGACTATTTTTCCCTTTATTTTCAGTGATATGGTCCTGTCTCTTGGCAGGCCTTGTAATTTTTATTGAATGTCAGACATTGTGTATGAAAAAATGTACAGACTCGAGATGATAATATCTAAGTCTGGAGAGGACACACTCTTTCTCTGCAAGATAAATTGCATACAGATCAATTATCTTAATCCAATCAGGGGCTGAGCTGGGTGGAGACTGGGTTATAGTTTTGAAAAGACACCACTTCACTCTGTCCCCTACCTCTAATGCTTTGCCTTTCCAGGGTTCCAGCTAGGAACCTTGGGTGTTCACTAAGTCCCCTCTCTCTGGTCCTGGGCTCTAACCCTTATCTTCACAGCACAACAAGACTGTGGAAATGGCTCTGTTTTTCAGGGACCTTCTGCATGGCGTCTTTGCTTCTTGCCCTGCACTATTTCAGACTTTGCCAAATATCTTGAGGGGAAAACCACCATCTATCAGGCTCACTTTTCTGCCCCTCTCTTCTCCCTGGGATAATAGCCTCTCGAGTCTCCAGTTTTGTCTTTCTAGCTCTATGAGGTTGCTAAAAGTTTTGTCAGTTTCTCTGTTCCCCCAAAGCAGCCTTCATGCCTGGGAAGAGTCTAGAAACTCGGCCTCTTTCCCTGTGCCCAAATGTGCAAATATCCCCAGGGAAAAATCAGCTGCAGAATGTCAGCTCACCACACCAGAGTGTCCTTGTCTCCAGAATCTTGGCCTCTTTAGTCCTGGTTATTTCAGCAGTTCTCTGAATGTCTTAACAGATGGTGATGATGATGATGATTTAATCTGGCTTTTCTAGTTGTTCTCAGAAGTGGAAGTTTAAACAATGAAAGTAGCCCACAGGTCAAATGTCATCCATTGGCAGGGCTGTAAGCAGCACACAAACGCATCTTCTTCTTATGTTTGGAAATTGCCTCACATTATGAGTTCCACCTTTCCCTCACAGAAGCGAAAGCACTTTTCCAGAACCTTCCTTGCAAACAGGTCACATGCGATCTAGGCTGTGCCATTAGAAGATCACATGAGATTTCTGCCAGGAAGTGAGCAACAAAAGAGAGGAATCTATCTGGTAGTGAGCCTGGCAGCCAAGGCATCTGTTTCCAGGTGCTCCACCCCTGTGTAAGCTTGGTATCCATGGTGAAAGGCATGTCACGTGTTCACAGGGGCAGCCCCACAGCTGGTTTGGGAGTCATTTCTGGCTGCACAGACAGAACCTGGCTCTCTTGTCCTCCTGGAGATTCTACAGAGTTTTCAACCACCTGTCTTAGAGGCTGCCATAACAAAATACTGGATGGCTTAAACAAGAGAAATTTATTTTCTCGCTGGGCGCAGTGGCTCACACCTGTAATCCCAACACTTTGGGAGGCTGAGGCAGGCAGATTACAAGGTCAGGAGTTCAAGACCAGCCTGGCCAACATGGTGAAACCCCATTTCTACTAAAAATACAAAAAAAAAAAAAAAAAAGCTGGGCGTGGTGGCAGGCACCCGAAATCCTAGCTACTCAGGAGGCTAAGGCAGGAGAATCACTTGAACCTGGAACATGGAGGTTGCAGTGAGCTGAGATCATGCCACTGCACTCCGGCCTGGGGGACAGTGCGAGACTCCATCTCAAAAAAAAAAATTATTTTCTCACTATTCTGGAAACTGGAATTCTGAAATTGGGATGCCAGCATGGTCAAGTTCTGGGTTCTGTTGAGGGCTCTCTTTCTAAAGTCTTGCAGACGGCCACCTTCTTGTTGGTAAAGAGAGAGAGAAAGATCTATCGCTTTCTCTCCTTCTCTCTCATCCTCTTCTTATAAGGCCGTAGTCCTATTGGATTAAGCCCTCACCCATAAGACATCATCTAACCTTTAATTACCTCCTAAAGATCCTACCTCCAGATACAGTTACATTGAGGGTTAGGGCTTCAACATATGATTTGGTGCAGGGAAGAGGGACCACAATTCACCGCCCTATTAAAATACTTCTGCTTAAACTACCTAGAATAGATTGTGTCATTGGTAACAAAGAACCCTGACTAATGCTCGCCAGTATTTCCAAAATTAAGAGATACTACCCCAAAAATGCAGATCTCTGGCCTTTCTGGAAAAAGGGGAAGAGCTGGCTGCATTGGGCAACAATTAGTTGGAAGAGAGGTAACTATCCTTTCAGATGGGGCACAGACTCTCCACTACAGTCCCACCCAGGCCTCTACATTCATTATTGATATCTCCTCCCTGGCTCCTGTAGGCATTTGAGTTTGATGCCTCTGGTGAAGGGTTTTGCACCTCAAACTAGTAAGAATGTCATCAATTTCAAAGAATGGAAGCTGATGGATGATAATTTTGTTGTTGATGATGCTGTTGTTGTTATTGTTGATGTATTTCACTCTAGAAACTGCATACTAACTCTGAAGGCCATATGTCTCAGAGTGGCTTTATTAATAGTGGGAATAAATTATTGTTACTGGGCGACTGAATGAGCTGGATTTGGCAGGAGGAGAGACAGGTGGGAATCAAGAACTGGCTTTCTTTTCCTTCTTCCACTGCTTATCAACCTTAAGATCCACTGCCAGGGCTCCCTGCTCTGCCCTGGGCAATATCTTAGTAAATCTCTTAGCTTTTCAGTTAGTTTCAACTAAGAATCTCATCAGACATTAAAAGTCCAGTCCAGGCTGGGCACAGTGGCTCACACCTGTAATCCCAGCACTTTGGGAGGCCGATTTGGGTGGATCACCTGATCCTGACGTCAGGAGTTCGAGAACAGCCTGGCCAACATGGTGAAACCCCATCTCTACTAAAAAACAAAAATTAGCTAGGTGTGGTGGCAGGCACCTGTAGTCTCAGCTACTTGGGAGGCTGGGGCAGGAAAATCACTTGAACCCGGAGGGTGGAGGTTGCAGTGAGCCGAGATTGTGCCACTGCACTACAGCCTAGGAGACACAACGAGACTCAGCCAAAAAAAAAAAAAGTCCAGTCCAATCAAAACTTCATTCTCACATCCAGTTTAATACCTTGTTCCCTGCCCCTTCCAGCCTGACCCATGG